GGGTTGTATGAGCATAAGAAAAGTCCAGAAATGAAATTCATGGGGCTATGCAGGAAAGATAATGGTTAACCCTAGACTTGATGAGATCAAGATCATAGTGATTGGGAAAGCATCCTCTTGAGAGTCTGATCCACAAAGCAACGGTTCTTTGGAAGAAGATGTCTGAATGGAATATTCAAGGAATTCTTGAAAATGAAGAATGAATTTGTTAATTCTTGCTGTTAGAAGAAATGTACACTAATTCAGCCAAGTCTAACCTTCACGACGAGGACGCACCATGGCACATACATTAGCAAATCACTCACATTTCCTCCATATTCCATTGGCAAGAAGTAAGTTCCACTCAAACAGTTTCTTCCTGTGAACCACTTCTCTGTGGAACAAACTTCCTAGAGGATGTTTCTCCAATCATTACAATCTTAACTTGTTCAAGTCTAGAGTCAATCGTTATCTTTTCCTCCTATCCATATAAACTACCCCCTTAAATAACCCTCTACCTCAAGTACAACACACGAGGCCTTGTACAGCAGGGGTCAGCAACCTGTGCCACATGTGACATGCCAAGCAATTTCCAATGGCACACAGCTGCAAATGACATCACAAAATCTGAACCAATAACTACTACAATGCAAAGAAGATATTTAGCTGTTTCAATTTTAATATATACTAAAGTATATATACTATATATTACTATATAAAATATATTGTAGAACAGGTATATTGACCTTGACTTGTATAAAAATATGTATGTTGTTGGTGCAATGAATGATTTTAAAACCCTAAGCCAGCACGTAGTCAGCAAAAAGTTGTCTAACCTTTGGTTAGGTCCATTTTTTGACCATGGTTTAAATATCACCATGGCCAATTTGTCAGGAAGGTGAATTCTTGATGTTATCGCTCTGGGGGAGCGAATCTCTAGGTGCGGCACCTTCGGAAAGTGCCTGAAGTGAAAACCATACCAGGTTGACCAAAAGAGTAAGTTGAGATTAGGTAGGGAACTCTTTGGGAGCCGTCGATGTTTGTTCTAGGACTAAATTACAAGTCATTGTTACCGAGGGTTTGAGCGTGCTGGCCTTGTTCAGACCATATTGTAGAACCATACCATGGGTTGACCAAAAGCATGAGTTAAAATTTGGTAGGGAACTCTTTGGGAGCTGTCGATGGTTGTGCTAGCATGAAGTTACAAGTCATTGTGACCGAGGGTTTGAGCGTGCTGGCCTTGTTCAGACTATATTGTAGAACAGATATATTGACCTTGACTTGTATAAAAATACATATGCTGTTGGCACACTGAATGATTTTAAAACCCTAAGTCAGTACATAGTTAGCAAAAGGTTGCTGACCTCTCTTGCACAGAGTGAATCTTACTGTAAAGAAATAAAAAATAAATCCATGTTTTCATGTCTAATAAATATATTGTTTAATATTTACTATATTTATTGAGGAAGAGTGTTCAATATGAGAGACATAGATATATTTATATATATCATATATTCCCATGGATTCTTATATTAATATCTGTGGGTTTGTTTCTATGCAATCAAAGCAATGTAATATAGCTGTAATAGGATAACTGCAGATGGTATAAATAACGTGACATGTTGTAGATGTTTTATCAAGGTCCAGCAGTTTGTAGTCAGAGTAGGAGTTGTCACCAAGTGTAAAGAAAATAGTATTAAAATAACAAATCAGAAAATTTGTTTATTACCACTCTATAAACATGTCATTGACTTGAGGTCAGCATGATATCAAGGTCGTTCAGCAAGGACAAATGTGTAAAAACATTTATGTTTAAATGTGCTGCTGTGAGTATTTCCTAGTAAAACTATTTTTCTTTTTTATGCCATGTTCTTTCAGGGCGTAGTTGATTATGGCTTTCCACAGATTCCTTTCTTTATTTTCTGTGAATTTCCATGACTTCTTGGAAAAAATAGTTAAGTTGTTTACTATTATCTTTACCACATTTTTGAGTACAGAGTTCTCCTTCTTTCAGACTAACTGCTACCCAAAGTTAAAGAGAACACTCTACTCTGTTACTTAATCTATAGCTAAAAGGAAAAGATGGTTAGATAGGTTACTCAATGGTTCCCTTTACCACTCTAGTTTTCACTATGTTCTGTGAGTGTTAAATTCTCCAAACCTTTTTTCCTCATTATATGTCCTAAATATTTCACTGTCTGATTTTAAGTAGCAGTTTTCTTTTAGTTCTTATTTTCCTTAAATCTTCCTTATTGCTCATATGTTCAGTCCATGGTAACCTATGATAAATAAAAATTGATTTATATACTATAGAATCTCCTTCCAAATTACCTGAAGATAATAAAGGGGGATATTTTATGAGGTTATTTAAATTTCTATTTGCTCAAATAATTTCTTTACCATCAACACCACACAAAAGAGACTCATTTCAAATTTCTACTATGAGTAGCAATATCAAGTGAATCTCCTTTGTGCAATGTTGTTGGTAAGGGTTACTGCTCTGTTTTGGTTTGATTTAGACATTGAGCACTTTGGATTATTGCATAAGTAGGTTTCTGTCTTTTAGTCTGAAATTTCTTTTCTGTTTATGTTTCCTTTTTCTTTTTTGTTGGTATTTTTGTTGTTTATTGCTTCTCAGGTTTTCCTTTTATTTTCTTTTGATATTTCAAGTTTTTTTTTTTTTTTTGACAGGCAATATGTTTGTGGAATTGCATTTGCAAGTTGTATTACCAATACTTAGATTTGTTTTAGTTGCTCAGATTATTTCTATAAAAATTAATTTTAAGTTTATGTGGAAGCACTCTAAAAGTGACATGACTTAAAGGTAGAAAAATTTTCAAAAATATTTAAAAACTACTCTTTCAAATAAATGCTCTTGATATTCTGAGTGAATTATGAAATTTAAAAAAAAGTTTTTGAAATAAATTATATACATTTTTATTCCTATTTCCTTTTGTTTTTTTTTAAGTTTACAAGGGGATGCTGAAAAGTTCTCAGTGTTACCTACTTTCAAAATTCTCACCAAATGACAAAATATTAAAATTTAAAAAAAAAAATTTTGTCTTGGTTAAGAACTTTTAATACTTCCATGTAGTATTGTACATAGTATATATATATATATATATATATATATATATATATATATATATATATATATATATATATATATGTCCAAGGTAAATAGCATATTAGTATATATATAAGAAAAACTTAGATAACAAAGAAATAAGTATAAAATAGTAATAAAAATAGATATAATTAAAAGGGAGCTAAAAAGGGGAAACAACTCTGGTAATTTAATTTGGAAAAAAAAAAAAAGAAAAATGAAAATAACAGAAAATAACAAAATGAGCTAATCGGTTATCACTCCTCACTGTTATTTTCTTTTATTATTATTATCATTGTTTGTGTGTTATGTTTGCTGCTTTGTATTCTGTAGAGCCGGATCCATACTATGGTCCTTAGGCCCTATAGGAGAATTATCATTCAATTGATAGTACTTTTCTTTGTATATGAGATGTTCCTAGTAGGGTGATCTTCTGGGCAACTTTTATGTTGATGTTACCTAGGACACTGTTAGTAAAATTGTCCATTTCTTTTCTTATGAGGCCCAGAGCACTGATTATTATTGGCACATTCTCGGTCTTCATTCCCCCACATCCTGTTAATCTTGATCTCCAGGTCCTTGTATTTGGACAGTTTTTTGATAATTTTTATGGAGGTGTTTCTCTCAGATGGTACTGCTATGTCAATAAGCATACACTTCCTGAATTATTATTATTATTATTATTATTATTATTTTATTTCCTTTGATTTCTGGTGTGTACACATTTCTTTCTGGATCCTGCCCAAAGACCTAAGGTTAGAAATGGCATCATGACATTTTCCACTGAAAAAAAAAACAAACAAACATATTTTACATAGATAAAGCCCTTTGTAAAGTGTGGGTTATTATTATTATTTTTTTTTTTTTTCAGATTAAACCACCACAGTTTCCCCTTTTTGTCCACTTTTAATTATGTTCCATTATTTTTGCTATAATTCAATATTGTACTCCTAAAAAGATCTTCAGTTATAAAATACTTTATTGCTATGATCAGAAGTGTTTACAACACTTACAGTTATTACTTACCTCATTAACTACAATCATGATCATAGAGTCCACATCCATATATAAATAAATAATTGTGGACACCATAATCTTTTCCGTGACTGTTTAGTATATTACATATGTTATATCCCCAGTGTTCAAAGGTAACAGTTTTGAATTCAGAGTTATCCTTCTCTTAGACTGATTGCCAACCACAGCTAAAAAAAACTATTTAACCCATAGCTTGGGGTACAGAGATTGATTGACACCTTTCTCAACAATATTTGTGCAAAAGTGAATGTAACAAACCCAATCAACCATTATACTACCTGCATATTATTAAACAAAAAAGCTTGAAGTGTTAGGGCAATTCTGGATGGAGATTTAGAATCAGCTTCCTCAAATTAATCAGGTACAGCATCAAGAATTTCTTTTATCTTTTTTGCATATGGAATTGGTGTGAAGCAATGCAAATCATGTCCACATCTTCTTTACCTCTTGCAGGAAAAATCATAATTCTAAGTTCATCCAACATTGGAGTCAGTTTGTCCCCATGTCGTCAGAATCAAATGAACATGTAGATCAACTGCCTTTAATTGGAAGGCAGTAAACAGGAATGTAGGATTCACTAGCAAATTGAACCATGCTGTAATTAAATTTTGGGATGGAAGAGAAACCAGAGACTCAGGTTCTTTCCAAAACAGGCTTAGAGCAGAGACTGAGGAAATGGCAAATGTAGTGATGATTAATGATAGAAAAAGAAGCCAGACAAAGGTAAAGTAATAAGGAAATGATGACTGCAATATTTGCTAAGATAAATTTGTTTCCAGAGAGCCAAGGACAATTTTATTTGGCTTTTACAGGCCTATCACTTATAACTAAATGCAAATGCATTAAGAAGGAGAAGAAAGAGAGAGATTAAGGGAGGAGACTACAAGAGAGAGAGAGAGAGAAGGAAAAGGATTATGGGGAGAGAAAGAAAGAAAATGATTGTAGATAGAGAAAGAAAGAAATGGATTGTGGAGAGGGAAAGAAAGAAATGGATTGTGAAGAGGGAAAGAAAGAAATGGATTGTGGAGAGGGAAAGAAAGAAACGGATTGTGGAGAGGGAAAGAAAGAAATGGATTATGGAAAGGGAAAGAAAGAAATGGATTATGGAGAGGGAAAGAAAGAAACGGATTGCGGAGAGGGAAAGAAAGAAACGGATTGTGGAGAGGGAAAGAAAGAAATGGATTGCAGAGAGGGAAAGAAAGAAATGGATTATGGAGAGGGAAAGAAAGAAACGGATTGCGGAGAGGGAAAGAAAGAAACGGATTGTGGAGAGGGAAAGAAAGAAACGGATTGTGGAGAGGGAAAGAAAGAAATGGATTGCGGAGAGGGAAAGAAAGAAACGGATTGTGGAGAGGGAAAGAAAGAAATGGATTGTGGAGAGGGAAAGAAAGAAATGGATTGTGAAGAGGAAAGAAAGAAATGGATTGCGGAGGGGGAAAGAAAGAAACGGATTGTGGAGAGGGAAAGAAAGAAATGGATTGCAGAGGAAAAGAAAGAAACGGATTATGGAGAGGGAAAGAAAGAAATGGATTGTGGAGAGGGAAAGAAAGAAATGGATTGTGGAGAGGGAAAGAAAGAAATGGATTGTGGAGAGGGAAAGAAAGAAACGGATTGTGGAGAGGGAAAGAAAGAAATGGATTGCAGAGAGGGAAAGAAAGAAACGGATTGTGGAGAGGGAAAGAAAGAAATGGATTGCAGAGAGGGAAAGAAAGAAACGGATTGTGGAGAGGGAAAGAAAGAAATGGATTGTGGAGAGGGAAAGAAAGAAACGGATTGTGGAGAGGGAAAGAAAAGAAATGGATTGCAGAGAGGAAAGAAAGAAACGGATTGTGAGAGGGAAAGAAAGAAATGGATTGCAGAGAGGGAAAGAAAGAAACGGATTGTGGAGAGGGGAAAGAAAGAATGGATTGTGGAGAGGAAAGAAAGAAACGGATTGTGGAGAGGGAAAAGAAAGAAATGGATTGCAGAGAGGGAAAAAAAGAAAACGGATTGTGGAGAGGAAAGAAAGAAATGGATTGCAGAGAGGGAAAGAAAAGAAACGGATTGTGGAGAGGGAAAAAAGAAATGGATTGTGGAGAGGAAAAAGAAAAAACGGATTGTGGAGAGGAAAAGAAAGAAATGGATTGTGAAGAGGGAAAGAAAGAAAATGGATTGTGAAGAGGGAAAAAGAAAGAAATGGATTGTGAAGAGGGAAAGAAAGAAATGGATTGTGGATTGTGAAGAGGGAAAGAAAGAAATGGATTGTGAAGAGGGAAAGAAAGAAATGGATTGTGGAGAAAGAAAGAAACGGATTGTGGAGAGGAAAGAAAGAAAAAAGATTGTGAAGAGGGAAAGAAAGAAACGGATTGTGAAGAGGGAAAGAAAGAAATGGATTGTGAAGAGGGAAAAAAAGAAATGGATTGTGGAGAGGAAAAAAAGAAATGGATTGTGAGGGGGGAAAGAAATGGATTGTGGAGGGAAAGAAAGAAATGGATTGTGGAGAGGAAAGAAAGAAATGGATTGTGGAGAGGGAAGAAAGAAATTGAAAGAGGAAAGAAAGAAACGGATTGTGGAGAGGAAGAAAGAAAAACGGATTGTGGAGAGGGAAAGAAAGAAATGATTGTGGAGAGGGAAAGAAAGAAATGGATTGTGGAGAGGAAAGAAAGAAATGGATTGTGGAGAGGGAAAGAAAGAAATGGATTGTGAAGGGAAAGAAAGAAATGGATTGTGAAGAGGGAAAGAAAGAAATGGATTGTAGAGGGAAAGAAAGAAATGGATTGTGGAGAGGAAAGAAAGAAACGGATTGTGGAGAGGGAAAGAAAGAAATGGATTGTGAAGAGGGAAAGAAAGAAACGGATTGTGGAGAGGGAAAGAAAGAAACGGATTGTGGAGAGGGAAAGAAAGAAATGGATTGTGAAGAGGGAAAGAAAGAAATGGATTGTGGAGAGGGAAAGAAAGAAATGGATTGTGAAGAGGGAAAGAAAGAAATGGATTGTGGAGAGGGAAAGAAAGAAATGGATTGTGAAGAGGGAAAGAAAGAAACGGATTGTGAAGAGGGAAAGAAAGAAATGGATTGTGGAGAGGGAAAGAAAGAAATGGATTGTGGAGAGGAAAAAGAAATGGATTGTGGAGAGGGAAAAGAAAAGAAACGGATTGTGGAGAGGGAAAGAAAGAAATGGATTGTGAAGAGGGAAAAGAAAAAAAGAAACGGATTGTGGAGAGGGAAAGAAATGGATTGTGAAGAGGGAAAGAAAGAAACGGATTGTGGAGAGGGAAAGAAAGAAATGGATTGTGAAGAGGGAAAGAAAGAAATGGATTGTGGAGAGGGAAAGAAAGAAACGGATTGTGAAGAGGGAAAGAAAGAAATGGATTGTGGAGAGGAAAGAAAGAAATGGAAGGGAAAGAAAGAAATGGAAAGAGAGAAAGAAAGAAACGGATTGTGGAGAGGAAAGAAAGAAATGGATGGAGGGAAAGAAAAGAAACGGATTGTGGAGAGGGAAAGAAAGAAATGGATTGCAGAGAGGGAAAGAAAAGAAACGGATTGAAGAGGAAAGAAAGAAATGGATTGCAGAGAGGGAAAGAAAAGAACGGATTGTGGAGAGGGAAAGAAAGAAATGGATTGCAGAGAGGGAAAGAAAAGAAACGGATTGAGAAGGAGAGGGAAAGAAAGAAATGGATTGTGAAGAAAGGAAAGAAAGAAACGGATTGTGGAGAGAAAAGAAAGAAATGGATTATGGAGAGGGAAAGAAAGAAATGGATTGAGGAGAGGGAAAGAAAGAAATGGATTGGAGAGGGAAAGAAAGAAATGGATTATGGAGAGGGAAAGAAAGAAAAGGATTGTGGAGAGGGAAAGAAAGAAATGGATTGCAGAAGGAAAGAAAGAAAATAGATTGTGGAAGGAAAGAAAGAAATGGATTGTGGAGAGGGAAAGAAAGAAACGGATTGTGGAGAGGGAAAGAAAGAAATGGATTGTGGAGAGGAAAAAGAAATGGATTATGGAAAGGGAAAGAAAGAAATGGATTATGGAGAAAGAAAGAAAGAAACGGATTCTTGGAGAGGAAAAGAAAGAAAAGGAAGAGGAAAGAAAGAAATGGATTGCAGAGGGAAAGAAAGAAATGGATTATGGAGAGGAAAGAAAGAAACGGATTGCGGAGAGGGAAAGAAAGAAACGGATTGTGGAGAGGGAAAGAAAGAAATGGATTATGGAGAGGGAAAGAAAGAAATGGATTGAAGAGGGAAAGAAAGAAATGGATTGCAGAGAGGGAAAGAAAGAAATGGATTGCGGAGAGGGAAAAGAAAGAAATGGATTGCGGAGAGGGAAAGAAAGAAATGGATTGTGGGGAGAGAAAGAAAGAAATGGATTGCGGAGAGGGAAAGAAAGAAATGGATTGTGGGGAGAGAAAGAAAGAAATGGATTATGGTGAGAGAGAGAAAGAAAGAAATGGATTGCAGAGAGGGAAAGAAAGAAATGGATTATGGAGAGGGAAAGAAAGAAATGGATTGCGGAGAGGGAAAGAAAGAAATGGATTGTGGAGAGGGAAACAAAGTGAAGGATTGTGGAGAGAGAAAGAAATAAATGGATTGCGGTGAGAGAGAGAAAGAAATAAATGGATTGCGGTGAGAGAGAGAAAGAAAGAAATGGATTGCAGAGAGAGAAAGAAAGAAATGGATTATGGGGAGGAAAAGAAAGAAATGGATTACGGAGTGGGGAAAGAAAGAAATGTATTGCAGAGAGAGAAAGAAAGAAATGGATTGTGGAGAGGGAAACAAAGTGAAGGATTGTGGAGAGAGAAAGAAAGAAATGGATTGTGGAGAGAGAAAGAAAGAAATGGATTGTGGAGAGAAAAAGAAAGAAATGGATTGTGGAGAGAGAAAGAGAAAAAAAATTAAATTAAGAGAGGACAGTAAAGAGAACAAAAATTAATTTAATTTATGATGTATATAAATGAAGGTAGAAAAAAAACAACTGTTAATAAGATAGTGAGTGTCACAGAGCTTAGCCTGGTGCTCCCAATCATGTTTGCTCCCCAACATTCCTGGCAAGAACCCACCATGCCACTTATATAGTTGCAAACCACCCACATTCCCTCTGTATTCCATCAGTGAGATGTAAGTTCCACTCGAACAGCTTCTTTCTGTGAATAAACCACTACCTTGTGTAACTGACTCCCAACACAAATGGCCTCCTAATGTAACCCTCTACCTTGAGTGGCCCCCAGGCCTTGTAAAGGATGAACTCTGCTGTAAATATATATATATATATATATATATATATATATATATATATATATAGAGAGAGAGAGAGAGAGAGCTAGAGAGCTACAAAGCTCAGAAAGTTGTGGAAAGCCATTTTTGCCAATATCCTAAAGGGATATGCCAGATAGAAGAGGAAAACTCATTCAAATATGATAGTAAAATGCATATACATTGCTCAAGCAGATAATTGTCATAGATAAGGTCTTTTACAGATATTTTACTTCATTTAAAATAACTTGGATTTTTAATACTGATGTAACCTAGGGAAGGTTACTGAATAGAATAATCACATGAAGGTTAGTAATGAACGATAATTCTTAAGACAAGAACAACACATATAAGATTTGCTAGCAGTGCATACAAGAAATGGTCAAGTGCTACAAGTGAGTCAAGTGAATTCCACCATGAATCTCCAACTGCAAGATATCTACCAACTGCTCTATGTGGCCAGATCTGAGCCAAAAATTCCCTGTAGACTCCGATAAAACAGGGTCAGGTAGCTGTTTCCCAAGATGAGACTCTGCCCTTCAACATAGCTTCATCTGAGGATCCTCTCTGCCTCCAGGCAGAGAGTTTGTCCAGCACAGCTGGAGACGAATCTCTGAATGCAGACCAACATACAGTATTTACTACTGTATTTTTGTGAATGGGGACATACCCATTACGGTTCATAGGTATGCTACAACAAATACATTTTATAAATATATGATTATAAAAAAAAGGACTCTTTGTACTCTTGGTGAAATCATATTCTACAATGTGTTTATTACTTTCAGACATTGAATCAAATGAGAGATCTTTAATAATCTGTTTGCCATTGTAACATCAAGCCAATTACTATAAAATTCATTTTTTGGATTTGGTTTGATTTGTTTTACAGCATACCAACCTCAATGGGTTATTTAATGCTGACAAGATTTTTATTACTGGTAATATTTTTTTTTCAGAAATGTATTGCTGGTAATAATTTTTCCAAAAAAGTATTGCTGATATTAAAACCTATCTTTATACTTTCATAGTGTTTTGACCCATTTTGGGTGGGGGTAACTATTTGCCCATAGCTGGGACCCTAACAGGTGCTACCACCCCAGGTCAGGGTGAACCTGGTAACACCAGCAATTAAGAGGTGGTTCCATGCTCCTGAAAACCTCCTAACCAAAAGCCTTACTGTCGGATGTAGTTTATTTTCTTACCCAAGACGCTTCATTTTTTTTAAGTCTATGTGATCTCTATGGACAGTACATCAAATGATATAGAAAATTAAAAGTTTCTGTAATTATACACTAAGTCAATAACAATGGGATCAGTGAGGGGTTTAACTTTCTTCACTTTTAAATAATCAGTGAAAACAGCATGTTAATCATTGCAATAAGGTTAGTGCCTACCTAATTGTGTTAATATCAGTTACATATGATCATTTCATTTTCCTCTATCTATAAAAACTATTTTTCTATTTGTTGTCCTTCGTTGAAAATTTTATTACTAAAAAATCAAGGAACTAATTATATTAGAAAAGGATGTGTGCAGATGTGTAAACAATGTAATTAGGAAAGTAGAACTGGCAGACTAAGTTCAAATTACAAACAAGGTCTTTTCATTTATTTCATGCTAAAAGGCATAAATTCATCTCTTCCCTCCTCTCCTAAACCATGGGTAAAACAGTTGGGTGGACTGAGAACTCTAGACTTGGTAGGGTAACAACTCTAGGAGAAGTACAACTCTGAATTTAGAACTATAGAGAAGGGAATAGTAAAAAATTCTCTGACTCTTGCTTCTCAAATAAAGATGGAGGGTTAGGTTGTTGAGATTTCTAAAATAATAGAATATCTGATTAATACAAAATCAAGATAAATAAACAATCATTTTTCCTGATATACATGATTTGCCATCATTAAATCTAAAAAGAAAATGGTGGGATGTCTAATGAAGTGATGGAATGGTTTGGGGATTTTTTAAATTTTAATAAATGTAGGCTCCACCATTTATTTGAGAGGAAATAGTGCCTTTCCTACAAGCAGTCATGATTCATAAGAAAAAGTAATTGTGGAGAGCCATGATTCTGAAGGACATGATTCAGAGAAAAATATACATAAAATATATATTGTATTAACTTTTCTATCTAATGTAAAAATTTGCTATTCTAACTTGGTATTTTTTTCTTAGACTAAAATGTGCAGTTTTTCTATAATTTGCAGTTTGAGAAAGAAAAAGTATATATATATACTTGTATATTATAACTTGTATGTTTATAATCATGCTCTTAAATAACATCTGATCTTCTGAGGACAATCTACAATAAAAATATGTGAAAAAAAATTCCATCAATCAAATATTCATTACCTGAAAGTATTTCTCTTTTCTCACTTTATTCCATTAAACTGGATGTATATTTAATCCTTTTTTCATCATTTTTTTTAATCATTTTTACATTGTCATAAAATAACAATGTTTTTTAAAGAATTCATTTTTATCTTCATTTCTTATTTTTCTCATTTATATAATTTATAACAAAGAAAGAATTTATTCTTTTTTCATGCATTTGTCTTGATTAAAAGACATCTTTAATATACAGTAATTTTTACAATTTAACAAATAAAGATACATGCTATATATATATATATATATATATATATATATATATATAGATAGATAGATTGATTCATAGATTGATATATGTGAAATGTGTATGTATATAAATATATATATATATATATATATATATATATATATATATGCAATTTTTATATATATCATTTATATATTATATATCATAGTACTTATTGGAAAGTGCTCAATATCAGTGATAGACAACCCATACTAAATATATATATATATATATATATATATATATATATATATATATATATAAAATTATAAGAAAAGTGGAGTGCATCTTTTCTTTAATAACATTTCTCTAATATTCAGGCTGGTAGATGAAAATAAATTAATATACTGCTTAATAAATGAACATAGCATTTACTTAAATATGGGTATCCGCTAAAAATAACGTTTAAGTGATAAAATCTTTTGGATTAATAAATAAAAAATACAATTACTTCTTTAGAAATTACACACATATACCCACACATATATAGATATAAGTAGATATAGGAATCAACACTGCTTGGTGACTGTTAGTTTTAAACTTCGATTTGATCTTCAGACAAAGTCAGTCTGAAGACTGCATTAAAGCATGACAGTCAGCATACAATGTTGATTCCTATTTCCACACTATCTATAAATATTCTATCTCTGATACTGAACGCTTTTTCTATATAGCAAAATATATAGCAAATTTTAGTTCCTTTTAAAAACTGAAGATCCAGATTAGAAAAGAGAAAAGAATAGAAAAATAAAAGGAACTTACTTTGGTATATAAGTTTTTTTGGACTTTCCCATGTTATATAGGCCTTGGTGTCTGAGAATAATACTTCCAAATTGTCGGGTGAACTCGCTGGAGCTAAAATGACAAAATCAGAAAATACATTGTACATAAGAAAAATAAGATGAAATATATTTCTCAGTATATAAAAATGTTTCTCATTAATTTAAATAGTTTTTAAAACAATGAGAATTATATCTACTGGCCAGTGCATTTAAGAATATTATTTTCTTTATTAAGACTGTCAAATGAACAAGTCAACAGATGAAATTCACATTGTTCAAAAAATCAGGGCATCTACTTAAACATGTGTATCTGCTAAAATATCACATTTAAAATAATGAGAAATAATGTCAGATTAAGAATTTTTTTTATTTGCTATTATTCTTCAAATATATTTATAAAAATATCAGAATACTCGGGCAGCCATGATTGAACTGTTCAAAAATTAGTATGGTTGATGACATACAAGGTTGTCAGATTGGAGTAAAACTAGTAAATTAAATTTTAAAGCCCAGTCCCTTTAATTTTATATTGACATTATTCTTATTAGTACACCAACTTAACCCAGGATATTTGCAAAGTAACTGAAAAATTTACAAGTAGCTAAATTCATAGTTTAGTAGCACTCAGCTTTTGAAAGTAAACCAATTCAGTAGCACATGATAAATATGTCATCAACATTTTCCATGTCCATTGAAGTTTTTCTGAGTTTTCCACATTAAAAGTTACCTAGAAAAAGTATGCTGACTGTTAGTAGTTGCTATTACCTTCTTTTATGTGCCGTGTCCCTTTAAGATGTAGGCTCTTAATAAGTTTTGTCTTTTTGTTATTTCTCCCAGACCATGTTCTGCCATCCATTAGCTCAAGCCCATTAAGTATGACACATGTTAATTTCCCCTGTCTCTCTTTCCCTCTATCCATCCTGTGAGTATCAGATTTTCCAAGCACTCCTTAAATATAAGCTTCCTCTTTGTTTCCATTCTCTCTAAAATATTCAGCCCATGGTATCCTTAGCATCCTTCTGTAGAATCACACTTCTATTGCTTCAAGTCTCTTCTTCATCTTTGAGGAGATTGTCTAGCATTCACTGCCATAAAGAAGGGCAGATATCACATAACAATTCAGTATGCTTTTCTTTGTTTCCAACGAAACTTTCCTGTTTTGTAATACTCTGCTTAGCTTTTGGAATGTGTCTTTGACCATCTCAATATGTCTTCAGATTTCATTGTCATACTTTCAGTCCTCTGTCAGAACACTTCCCAGATATTTAAATTTT